CCCCACCTCAGTCCCCACCTCAGTCCCACCTCAGTCCCCACCTCAGTCCCACCTCAGTCCCACCTCAGTCCCACCGCAGTCCCCACCTCAGTCCCCACCTCAGCCCCCACCCCTGCCTTCCCCCCACCCCTGCCTGGCCTCCTCAACAGCCTCACTGGTCCCCCACTGGAATGCCCTTCCATTGACCTGCACAGAGACTGTTGCTGGGGGGGAGCCAGGGTGGAGGTGACTTTCTGGCCCCCCAGAGTTTCTTGCCCTGGTCTGAAGGGCAGGAATTCCTGCCATTGACAAATTCCTTCCTGGTAAAGACAACTGGCAAGAAACAGATGGCATCCCCAAGCTGAGGATCGCAGGAGGGTTTAACAAGTGGCACGGGCAGCTTCAGGGAGACTTGGGACAGAATGGCATCCTGGGGCTGGAAAGGCTGAGGCCGCTGCCCCTCCAGACCAGAGGGACATGGGGGGCAGCCTGCAGGAGGCACAGGACTGACACTCCTTCCCCTCCTTTCCCTCAAGTCCTCCCTCCCTCAGCCAAAGCCAGAAGCTTGGAGAGCAGGGGAGAGCCAGGCTGCCAGCCATCTTTGCAGTGATTCACACGTTAGTGAGAATTTGTGTCTAAGCCACTTCCAAGGGAGGGGGAGGAGGAAGCCTTGGAAAGACAGTGGAAAACAGAGCTGCACAAAGTGGTCCTAGGGATGGCCAAGGGCTGAGACCGCAGTGCGGCCAAGGCACCAGTCTGTCCTTTGCCTCTGCTCCTCCCCGGCACACACATTCCAAAGCATCTCCCCAGAATGGAGGCCCCCCCTTGTCCAGCCTGAGAAGCCTCCAGTGACAAGGACAGTGCCCCAGATAGCTCCAGGGTCAGCCCACCCCAGTCTGATGCCACCTCCAGGCAGACCTCCCACCAAGCGAGCATGGGTGGAAAATAGCAGATTTTCAAAAGTCACAAATTAGAGCATGAAATCCCGTGCTCGTCAAGCCTGTGCAGAAGCCGTGAGCCCTCCCGAAGCACGGACACGCCTGTGGCGACCGAGCCCCTCCCGCTGCCCAGCAGGTCCTTCTGCCCACTCTTTTAAGTGTTGTGTTTTAGAGAGAGCTTTCTATTTCCGCTGTTAGCGGAAAATCACTTCACTCGCCCTAAATAAACAACACCCTAAATGAACACAATGACACGAAAACAGGCTCACCTGCCTCTCCCCACAGCCCATGGCCACTGAAGGCTCTGAGCCCAGCACCTGGCCTCACTGTCAAAGCGAAGACATTCTGGAGTATCTGAGACCAGAGGAAAACAAACCAGCACTAACAGGTCCTTTCTCTGCACCCCCAGGGGTGCGGTCCTCGGCCCCCACCCCGGATACTGCCCTGCTAGGCCCACCCTGCCTGCTTTCCCAGAGCAGCCCTGGGCAGAGGGCCCAGCCCAAGGAACAGGCTGTGTGTCCTTCCCTGCGGCACGACCCAGGACAGCACGAGACCCTCGCCTCTGCAACCGGGGAAATGCCAGGGCTCCCATGCCCGCTCCCTGCAATGCCTGCGCTGGTCAGACAGGAGAGCCGCGTTCTGCCTGGGGGCCGCCATTCTGTCAGCCCCAGGGACAGCCCCGTTTCTAAGCCCACCCTTCCTTGGGCTTGTCCCGCCTGCCTCTAGATGCCTGGTCCCAGTTACACAGGGTCCCAGGGCAATGGCCTGGGGTGGAGGCTCCAGCTTCTTCCTGGAATGGAACACTCCTGTGGCATTTGATTTAGGGGTGGAGGGGGCATCCCCCAAGAGTTAGGTAAGAGAATGCCCATGTCCCTACCAGCAGACAGCAGCCTGAGAAGCCCCTCTGCTGGCCCTCCTTTCTGGCTGGAATCACTCCTGAGAGGTAAATGGAAGGAGACAGGGGAGCAAGAGGAAGTTGGGGAGGAAGATGTTGCAGAGAGGAGAGAGCCACGAAAAGGCACGATGGCAGCATACGGACCTGTGGGAGGGGCGGCAGAGATGAGGGGAGTCACAGAGGCCAGAAGGAGAGGCACAGAGACCAGGGAGAGACTCAGAGGGGAGAGGCACAGGGACAGGGGAGAGACTCAGAGACAGGGGAGAGACTCAGAGACAGGGGAGAGACACGGAGACAGGGGAGAGACTCAGAGACAGGGGAGAGACTCAGAGACAGGGGAGAGAGACTCAGAGACAGGGGAGAGAGACTCAGAGACAGGGGAGAGACTCAGAGACCAGGGAGAAACTCAGAGACAGGGGAGAGACTCAGAGACAGGGGAGAGACACGGAGACAGGGGAGAGACTCAGAGACAGGGGAGAGACACGGAGACCAGGGGAGAGACAGAGAGACTGAGGGAGAGACAGAGACTAGGGGAGAGACAGAGAGACTGGCAGAGACATAGAGACCAGGGGCAGGTGCTCAGAGAGTGACGGGGACCTGAACCCTGAGAAAGGACTGGCAGATGTGTCCTGGTGGGACAGACAGCGAGGACCCAGAGCTGCAGGCCATCTAGCAGCTGTCAGCCCAGCCAAAGATGGTCTTGCTCTCTGCATGCCGAGCCAAGCCACTTCTGAGGGGCTCCATCCTCTGAGGATTGGTGCCTGGGCTAGCTGGACCCACAAGCTCCTCTGGCCAAGCTCCCTCTGGTGAGGTCCTGAGTTCTGGGGGAGGGCCTGAGGAAGGGGAGGAGTCCCTATCAGATGCCCCTGCTCCCACTTAGAGGTCAGGCTGTCACTGAGAAGGCCACAGAGACACCCCGTCCCATGTGGACTCTGGGACAAAGGGCCCTTGCCCCGTGGCAGGGCTGGCCACACCCACCTTCACTGCATCTCATGGAGGTGGACGAAGGACTGGGAGTGAACCTGCCCCAGCTCTGAGCAGGTCTGTTCTGGGCTGCCCTGAGGCCGAGGTTCAAAAGGAACGTGCCCTAAACAGGTGTCCCCCAGGGCCCAGCAGGCCTGGGGTGGCCCCAAAGCCAAGCAGGAGGCGTTCCCGCTGGAGGGGTCCCGAGGTGACAAGACCCCAGAGCCTTCTCGAAGCTCCTGCTCCTAAACTTCTACATCTTTTGGGAGAGGAGAGCATCGCTGGGGCAAGCTGCTCACCCCTCACTCCTCCAGGGAAATTTACTGACGCCAATATCCTTAGGTGGGGCCAGCAGGGGCCAGCCTCCGTGCCCTCCCCGAAACACATCCTCTGGGACCCTAGGCTAGGCCTGGAGGCAAGGGAGGGAGGCACTGCCCAAAGTCAAGAGGCAGCCCTGTAGAGGGAACCAGCCCTGGGCAAGGGTGGGGCAGGGACTGCTGGCCCAGGCTCCACGTCCCCAATTCCCCAGCAACAGTGCATGGCCAGGGAGGCTGGGACCAGCCAGGTTCACACCTCAGGCTGAAATATTGGCCCCTGAGGAACAAAGGGCCTATTCCCGCCATGCCACAGGCCAGGCACCCGGCTCCCCTTGTTCCACGCCGGATCCTGCCTCCCTGCCCGCCCAGGCACAGTGCTTACCTGGCCTCTGTTCATGCCTGCTCTTCCAGGCTCTCAGCCCAGCAGCTCTGGAGGGTCCCACAAGGAGTTCCACCTCTGGGACAGTCAGTTCACTGTCTGTATGTTCCTTCTGACTGGGGCCAGGGAGGAGGGGTCGAGGCCAGGAGCAGAGAGAAAGGGGCCGTGGCCTCATTTGCATGCAGAGGCCCCAGGCCCTGTGCTGCCCCCACCCCATTGTGTGCCTGGGCAGGCTGACAATCGCTGCCTTTGTGGTCGGCCGCTGCCCTCCCACCCTCAGCGCTCAGGCAGGCGGGGTTCCCCCCACCTGCTGCAAAGGGTGAGGAGGAGCAAGACCAGGAGAGGCCATCCCTCTCTCCACCAGGCATGGGTCCCACAACTGGCCCCATCTGCCCCAAGCCCGAGGGACAGGTGTGGAAGGAGTAGCGGCAGGTGGAGCCCCCGCCTCAGCTTGTGGGTGGGGGCAGCTGCCATGTCTGCACTTCTACCCCCTAGTCCTGGGAAGCAAGCCTCCTGGCAGTGTCCCTGGAGCTCCGGGGGCCCCCGCTGGGTGGGAGGGGACTTCGGGGACCCTTGCCCCTCATGGCACCAAGCATCTGCCCACCTCTGGGAGGTTTAGCCTGGTGTGGGAGGAATGGGAGGCCCCTCTTCACCCAGCAGGACAGGCTGCCTACAGGGGAGATGTTTGGGGTCACAGTCACAGGTGCTGGGTGGCAGGGGGACCCAGGCCTTGCTGCAGAGTCAGACAGAGGTCTCCCCCATCCCTGGGTGAGGCACTGGGTGGGGGCCTCTGAGCTCCCTCGACCACCCCAGCTGGAACTGGGAAGCTGTGGGCCATTGGGAGGCAAGGGCCGCAGCCCCTCTGCCGGCCACATCTGTGCTGTGGGCACCTGCATCTGGTTTTCAGCACCCTCCCCGCCCCCGCATGCCGCAGGGGGTTTTGGGGGGGCTGCAGCCGCCTCCAAAGGAGGGCGGGGTCAAGGGTCAAGAGGTGGTGAGCCAGCTGTTCCCAAATGTGGGCCTCGGCCTTTCCGGTTTCTGGAGGAATGACAGGCCTCCCGCAGAGGAGGAGCGGGTGGTGGTGACGGGAGGAGCGGAAAGGGAGGGGTTCTCTACGGGTTCTGCTGATTTGTTTAATCCCACGCTATTCGGAGGCTTTCACGGATGGCGGATGGCGGACAGGAGGGAGGCGGAGGGGTGGGGGTCTCGGCGGGAGTTCCTTCCCATCCTCCTCCCGCTCCCGCCCCCGCCAGAGCCACCTGACCCGTAGCGAAGTTGCCGGCCCGCCGCGCGCCGGCCTTTGTGCGCACCGCGGCGGCAGCCGGGAACCGGGAGCCCGAGCCGGCTCGGCAGCGCCGCCGCCCCCACCCTCGCGCCCCTTTCCCCTCCCCCACTGTCCCCGGAGCTGGCAAATAAACAAATCCACAAACAAATTCTCCGTGTGCTCGGGAGAGGCGGCGGCGTGGGCGGCGGCGGAGAGGAGGCGCGGGCAAGGCGAGACTGGGCCTCCGCAGAGCGGGGTGGAGTACAGACCCCAGCCCAGGCCCAGCAACAGTAAGTTGACTATGAAACCCTCGAAGCTCGCGGGGCCACCGAAAAGGTCCCCACAGAGCGGACGCAGCGGGGCGGGCGGGGCAGAGGCTGCAGCGGACTCCCCTTCCCGCGCGGCTCCTACCGGCCGGCTCCACCCCCAAGCCCGGGACGGTCCTTCCCCCAGCCCCTGGGCTTGGGGCCGCTGCACACCGGGGGTGGAAGTATGGAGCCAGGGACCCCGATGGCTACTCAGGACTCCTAGAGGGGCCAGGTTCTCCTAGGGATGTACAAAAATCTGGGCTGACCCAAGCGAAAGGGGCGACCCCCAGCCTCCCTCCTTCCCCACCCTGGCATGCCAGAGAGACCTCCGCCAAAGGTAAGGTGCGCAGAAGGAAGATGCTCCCCAGGTAAAGGAGCACGGCTGCGAAGGGCGCGACCCTCCCTGCCCCAGGTAGAGCCGGTCCTGCAAGGAAAAAGAGACCCAGAGAAAGATTTGGGGTCCCTGGAGCCAAGGCACAGATGGGGGGTGCTAAGGAGTCTTTCCCCTTAGAATGGGAACAAGTTCCAGGGAGCTGGAATCCGGAGACGTCCTGGACCGGTCCAGGAAGCTAAGGGTAGGGGACGGGAGGGGAGGATGCTGGAGCCGGCCCTTCTGGCCCCACCCCTTGGTGAGAAGAGGGCTGGGGGTAAAGTCGGAAAGCGAGGCGGAGGTTTCAGGGTTCCGTTTCAACACCATGGACAGCGGATGCCTCAGCCTGGGAGCCTCGGGCTGCCCTGAAGACCGCCCCAGTCCCATCAGGGTGAGGGTCCGATCCCGACCACTGGAGGCCAAGGGCCACGGTCTCCAATGAAGCGGGACGGCTGCAGCCAGGCCTCAGCAGCCCTTCAGCCCCTCCAGCGTCCAGCCTGCACTTGCTGCGGCTGCCCGCACCCGCAGGCTTGGGGCAGCTTCCAGAGCTTTGCGCTTGGTACAGAAGGTTTCCTTGGGTTGTGGAGGAGTAGAGGGCTTGTGCGTGACCTGAGAGAGAGAAAGGCTATCCCGACACATGCAAAGGGCGAGGAATTGCGGCTGGGAAGGGTCAGGTTGAAGCCGCACCAAAGGGGGAGGGGCGTCCTGACGGTTGAGGACCGCGGAGGCGGTGGGGACAGAACCAGCCCGAGTTCCTGCCGCCCTTCCTAACCCACTGTCCATGGGCTAGGCAGTGCTGGAGAGGGTGGAAAAGGAAGAAGCGAGACCTGCGCCCAGGGAGGCCTAGGCTCTGCTCCGAGGGCAGAGGGCGCAGGGGCTGGGTCGGCCCTGGAAGGAAGGAGAGGGCAACAGAGGCCTGCGGGCCGCGCGGGGCCTGCGCTCCTTGCAGCCTAAACAAAGGCCCGCGGGGGAGGCTCTGGGCAGGGAGGCTTGGGGAAGCCGCTGATCCCTGGCCCTAGAGGGCCAGATGGGGGGCGCCCAAGGACCCTATGGAGCGGGCCCTGACTGCAGTCGGACTTGGAGTGTCGCCTGTGCTTCTGTGGTCCCTAAGGGCAAGAGCTCCCGTCCCAGTCAGACACAGTGAGAACCGCAGGCTCCGATGGGGGCGGGGAAGGACGACCTCTAACTCCCTCCTCCGGTACGGAGCCCAGCAGGGCCATCCGCAGGAGGCCGGCGGGACCCTGGCCTTTCTCAGGAGTGAGAAGCCTGGAGGGCCGCTGTATGAGCTGCGCGGCAGAGTGCGTTCTGCGCGTGCGAGACAGGAGCCGCGAACCCGCGGCCCGGGCCGAGTGCGGGTGCATGTCTGCGGGTGCCGCTGGGCTGCGTGCCGGCGAGTCGTGCGCGTGGCGGGGCGTGCGCGCGGCGGGGTGTGGCTGGGGTGTCGGTGTGCGGCTGCAGGGGCTCGCGCGTGGGCGCGGAGGGCCAGGTGAGGGGCGCAAGTGAGACAGGCGTTTCCTCGGGCCTCCGTGTGGCCGCGGGGCGCAGGGCACGGTCGAGGGCGCTCGAGGGCTGCGTCCGTGACAGCTGCCGAGGAGCGCGCGGGGAGGGACGCGGCGCGAATGCGCGAGAGGCGCGAGGCGCGCGGTGCGTGTGTGCGCGTGTGCGCGGCGCGCGTGCCCCGCAGTTCTCAAGGACACCTCGGGGAGGCGGCGGGGCCGGTGTCCGGGTGACGTCACCGCGCGCCCCAGTGATAATCGCCCGGTGCCGGAGCGGAGCGCGGATACGCGCGGAGGCAGCAGCGGCGGCGGCGGCCGCGGGAGCAGGGACGGTCGCCTTGGGGGCCAGGCCGGATGAACAGGACCCCGCGGACACTCGGCTCCCAGCCGGCCCGCAGCGCTGGGGACTTGCCTGGCTACCTTTTGGGGGTTCCCGCGCCCCTCTCCGCCCAGGGCAGCAGAGTGCGGGGGCCCCCGGGAGCCGAAGAGCGGGGAGCCGAGGCGGCGGTGGCCCGGGAGCGGCAGGCGGCGGCGGCAGCTCCCGCCTGGACTGGTAATTGCGCTCGGGGCCGGGCCGGGGCGAGGCGGGCAAGCGGCCTCTCTGGGTCCCCCCGTCTTTCTCCAGGAACAGCTCGAGCGCCTTCTCGCTGGCCCGCTGCGCGCGGAGAGGGCGAGCTCGCTGGGTTGTAAAAAGAGACGAGTTTTCATCTTTGAGCATCGAGATTCTTTCTTTTAACCGCATTCGGTGCACGCTCCTGGGTCGGCACGGGCCGGGGCACAGCCCGTAAAGGCAGCCGCGAAGGAGCTCGCGCCGCCCAGTCGGAGCGGTCTCTGCGCCCCTCGAAGCCTCGCGGGGGTCGGCCTGGTGCGCACGCGCTCACCGCCCCCACCCCCGGAATCCGTCTCCGCGGTCCCCGGGCGCCCTGGCTCCAGGAACGTCCGGAGGGATGCACCCGGGGCCCCACTCGCTGCCGCGGAGAGGGGAGAAGTGTGGGCTCCTCCGAGTCGGGGGCGGACCGGGACCCCACAGTCCGCCGAGCGCAGCGCCCCCGCCCTGCCCACCACGCGGCGAAGACGCCTGAGCGTTAGCGCCCCTCGGGCTAGGACCCCGCGAAAGCCCGAGCCGGTCCCGACCCCGGCCCAGACGCCCGCCGCCCGCACAGCCCTGAGGGCCCCTCTGCGTGTTCACAGCGGACCTTGATTTAATGTCTATACAATTAAGGCACGCGGTGAATGCCAAGAGAGGCGCCTCCGCCGCTCCTTTCTCATGGAAATGGCCAGCGAGCCGGTCCGGCCCGGCGCCCCTCCCGCAGGAGGAAGGCGAGCCCGGCCCCCGGCGGCCATTCGCGCCGCGGACAAATCCGGCGAACAATGCGCCCGCCCAGAGGGCGGCCCAGCTGCCGGGCCGGGGATCTGGCCGCGGGACACAAAGGGGCCCGTGCGTCTCTGGCGTCGCGGGGCGGGCGGGGGTGGCCGAGGGGGGAGCCCGCGGCCCGGGCCAGGCTGCGGCCAGCCGGCCCCTGGCCACGTGTGTCCGCAGCGCGGAGCGCCCGGGCGCCTGCTGAGGGTGGCGGGGGCCGGGAGACAAAGGGAGGGTCCGCGGGGAGCGGCGGGCGGGTGCGCCGGGCGGCGGGCTGGGGTCCGGGGGTCTGGGGTGCTGCGGTCCGGCCCCCGCCGGCGGTCGCGGCGCTGTCCACGGTGCTGGCGGCGGGGCGGCCCCCGCGGGACCGGAGTGCGGCCAAGTGCGGCCCTCGCCCCCACCGCGGGCGCCCTGGACAGTTGCCACGGCAACGTGGGAGGAGGTGAGGCAGGGTCTGAGGTCACCGCGGAGTCTGCCCTTCCTCAGGCCGCTGCGCCGCGGGGCGGGACGGGAGAGGCGCTCCGGGGCCCCCGGAGCAGCTCCCGCAGCCCCCGCAGCCGAGGACCAGGCTCGCAGGAGGCGGGGGTCTGCGTCCGCGTCCAGGGCCCAACCCAGGGCGATGGACACGCGGGACCACATCCCGCCCACAAAGCCCCTTCTGAGCTGTGCAGGACCAGGCACGTGAGGCTCCGCAGCCCGGGGAGAAAATGACGAATCCCTCCCCCGCCGCCATCTGCAGCCGCAGTGACACCCACTCGGGTTTGCTGCAGGGTTTTTTCTGTCCCCGGAAGCCAGCGCCACCTGCTGACGCCCGGCACCGCCTCTGCACCGCTCCCCGGTGCCCATCCCAGGCCCTGCTGCCAGGCCCCATGACGGTCAGAGGACGAACCCCCTCCCCAAGCACCCCCTTTCCCTGTGTCGAGTGCCAGACCTGGCTTTGCCGCTTCACCCTTTCCTCTTAACCGGGTAGAGGCTGAGCCTCTGCTCCCCAGCTTCAAGCCCAGGCAGGAGTCTGAGCCGCCTGAAGTTCTCCCAGCCCTAGGCCCAAGGCAGGGAGCAGAAAATCGGGATAAAAGGAGCCATGTGAGTTTCAGGCAGTGGCATCTCCGCCCCGACCTCCGCCACTGCAGGGACACAGAGGAAACCTGCCCCTGCAGCTCTACTCAGCTCAGACCTCCAGCCCCTCCGCCAAGTCACCTGCTGCAGACACAGGCGGGAACCACTGGTGCCTCCATCGTCCCACCCCCACCCCAGCCAGAGTCGGGGCAGGCTCCTCCTGGAGCCTGCAGAAGTGGCCCAGGCAGCCCCAGCAAGCCCCGGCCTGACCACAGCACCCACCCAGGGCTTCTTCCTTCCTCCTGCTGTGAGGGCTCAGGCAGCACCCCCCAAGGGTCACCTCTGGTCCTAGAGAAGGGGTAGGGGCCCCAGGGTCATCCCAGGACAGTACTGAAGGGACTGGTGGGAGTGGGGTGTTCCTTCAGGGTACAGGATATGGCCCTAGCCTATCGGGAGCTTTGTCTTGGATCTCTGACCTCGAGGCCAGCCCTTCCCTCAGAGGGAGGGCACCCTTGGCTGCTCCCTCCTCTGGGGCCAGGGATGGGGGCTGGGCTTTGGTCTTGCACCACTTTCCTTCCTGGGGATGTGGTTCCTGGCCAGGATGGACCCTCCATGTCAGTAGCCTGGGGAGGGGGTGCTTGAGAGCTGGTGGGAGGGCATGGGCAAACTGTCCTTGGCACTGTCCCTGGGCAGTCCACCTCTGTGGGGTCTCCTAGGAAGAGCTTCCTGGACTCTGCCACAGTCAGGGAGCTGCCTCTCCCGATGTCTGCCCCAGCTCCAGGGCAGCGCTGTGCTTTCTGGGCTCCAGCTCAGGGGGACACGGCTGGTTTCCCGGGCTGCCCAGGAGCTGCGGGGTGCACAGTGGAACCTCACTATGCAGGACCTGCAGGGTTGAGTGTGCGCCTCCTTGGGCCAGGTCTTGCCATGGCTGTAGCACCGTCTGCCGCAGTGCGGCGGTGGTGGGGGTGGGGGGGTGGGCATGTGCCACAGCGTCCACTTGGACCTGGAGCGGCTGAGCTGCTGGCCTCAGTGAGAGGCCCTTGGGGCAGGGGCCACCACCACGTGCTCTGCAGCCCACACGGACTACCCTGTGTGTCCAGTTCAGCCTCTCCCCGTCCTGCTCATACCGGCAGCCACAGTCACAGACGTGCTCACACAGCCACACCTCCCACGAACACACAGACATTGCCCGCCTCCACTCAGGAAGAGCTGGGCACATGCCCTGAACTGACTGCTAAGCACCCAGCCTGTTCAGCACCCAGCCCACATTGGGGCAGCTGTGGGCAGTGGTCCTGGTGGACAGCACACTGGAGCCGACGGCCTGGGACACCCCCTGACCAGACTGTGGCACCCAGAAAGGCCAGTTCAGGCTGTCTAGCAGGGCCCTTCTCAGTGTGAGACCAGAGGAAGATGCCCCTTCCCTGGCTGGAAGATTTTTGTTCTGAGTAAAACCTAATAAGGCTGCTGAGCCTGAAGCCACAGGCCCCACAGTCCCCTCGAAATTCCTCCAAATCCCCTCTGTCCACAGGCGGTAGAGATGGGAGGAGCTCCAGGGGCCGGGCCACAGTCAGCAGGGGCCAGGGCAGTCAGCTCCTCCACTCTGCAGCCCGTGGGCTCCACCCCGATCTCACCTCCAGCCAGGGCTCCCTGTGCTGCCATTGGCCAGGAGTCCCCACCCTCCTTCCCCTCAAGTCCAAGCCCCCAGGCAGGTCTCTGGCCAGGGCAGAGATTGGGAGCGGCTCTCAGCCTCCCTGCCCCTGACTGCCTCCTGGCGGTGCCCATAAGCCGGGCCACTGGCAGTGGTCTGACCCCAGAGCTCAGACCCTCACACAATCAAGCGCTTGCGCCTGGTGCCCAGGCTGGCTGCTGTTTCTGGGCTGTGGGTACCAGGAGCACTTGGCAGCCGGGGGTAATGTTTGGGAATGAATTAAAAACCAAAAAACGGAAATGATACAGGATGACTCCCTCCAACTTTCCATCCCTCCAGAGGGATGGAAAGACCTTGCCCAATGGTGGGAGTCCAGAGCAGAGGAGGAGTCTGCCTCTACTTGGTGACCCTGTCCCAGAGGTGCCAGGAAGGTGCAGGGTCTTCTCAAGTCACCGCTAGCCAGGGACATGGGCCACAGGCAGCCCCGGAGTCCAGCAGGCTTGGCACTGGTGCTGGAGCACTCAGGACAGGCGCGAGCACACATGTACGCCCTGGAGCCTCCTGTCCCGCAGCCCCCAGAGCTGTCACAGAGCCAGAAATCAGGTCCCTCCCTCACATGTGCGGCCATAGCCACACTCCTTCACCCTGGACTCTGGCCTGGCCTGTCGGAGGCTGCTGGTCACTCACCGGAGGGAGGCCGAGCGTCTGTGTGTCCAGCCACCCCTCCCCGCCCAGCATCAACTTCCCTCTGGGTGGCTTTTCCTCCTCGGTCGACGGGAAGAATAAAGCCAGTGTGCCTCCCAGGGCTGCCTGGGGTAACCATGGGTGAGATGAAGAGGCTTTCCAGGGCAAACCAAGGTCAGGTGGGCCCCAGCCCAGGGCTGGGGATGTGTTTCAGGGGGCGCACGGCCGGGCACCTCCCCTCTCGCCATCCTCATCCCTGCAGGGCTGAGACACACAGGCCAGTCCAGCTCCGTTTCTGGAACTCAGCATCAGCCAATCCATGATCATCGCCACAGAGATGGCCACACCGTCCCCTTCTCAGCTTTGTAGTTCCCACCCCGGCCGGCTAGGCCTGATCCCAGAGGGCGGCCTGATCCCAGAGGGCATCCCTCGCCACCCAGAAAGCTCACAGCAGGAATACAGGGGCAGACACAGGCCATGGTGCTGGGGAACAGGGAGCCTGGAGTGGTTCGGGGAGACACTCCCACCACAGGCCATTTCCACAGATGCTCTGACGGGGTGATGAGGTTGGGGGCAGCTAAAAGCCAAGGGCAGCTGAACCCTCTCTTCAGGGCCACCGGTGGTAAAACTGAGCAAGATGGGAAACTCACACCCCTGTGACAGGGTCCTCAGCCTATCTCACCAGACCCTGTCAGGTGGCCCCTGAGACGCTGTGGCCCCTGCAGCTCCTTTGTTTCCGGGCTCCCTACCCGAGTCACCATCAGCTGGAAACACGGGCCACAGCCAGCCCCAGAATCCAGTGGGCTGGGCATTGCAGCCTGGTCCGGGAGCTGCTGTGCCACAAGTTTATGCCACCAGCTCTGAACCAAGAGGTACGTGGGCTGTGCTGGGGCATGGCCACTCTGGACCCTCCTGCCAAGAGCCCCAGCCGGACACAGACGCTTGGCCAACCCCAGGACAGTCCAGC